AAAAGCCAGGTCCTCTTCACGCTGCTTGCAGCTTTATCCTTTACCAACATTGGAAGTCATTGATCTTCTCAGATGAAAGACTCTCTTCTAAGTGAAAATTATTATTAATGAATTTCTATCTTGGCTCCTTGACAGAAAATTGTACCTTGCAGAGTGTTATCTTTGCAACCATGCACCCCTGGCACTTACAGATTCCCTCATCTGGCAAAGTGAGGCACACTGCCAACAGTGATGTTCGGAGGGGCTTCCTGTGCCTGATTGCAGTGCCTTTGTAACTGCAGCACAGCAAGGCTTAAGAAATGTAAATCCTGGCATTTGACCTAATGTGAATTTCTCAGATAAATATTTCCCAGCCTGGTTTCTTCCCAGCTGAGATTATCACTTACAGAGTGTCGTTAAGAACTGGATTTTGACAGTATTTTTGGTAGTGGAAGATAAATTGAAAAATTTCAGCATCTGCCTCTGAAACTCTTTGTTCTGGAGCTTCCAAAAATTAAACGTGAAGGCAGAGCTAAGTTATTTCTTTCTTTCTTTTTCAATTCTTTCAGTTGTCTCTTGAAATATACCCCTTCTTCCTTGTAAAGAGCTAGATATTTTGAAGACACGCTCCTGGTTAGCCAGCTGTGAGTTACCGGGGTCAAAATCAGTGGCCTCTTCTAGGCTTCTTCTGGCCTTGAGACCTACAAAGAACACAGAGAACCACAATACCATGAAACACAGCCCTTCTGCCTCTTTTTTTCTCCCTTTGGGAAAAAAAGTACATCTACGTGGATAAGTGAGGGCTGCTCTTAATTTTCATTCCATGAAATGCTGGGAATCCTTACCACACCAAACCTACAAAAAGGATGTGAAGCAGCATTTTTGGACTGGAGAGACTTCCTGAGTGCCATCAACCCCCACCAGCACAGGCCTTGCACCACGTGGGCCGGTTGTTGAATACCTCATGCCCCATCCGAACGGATTTACCACATTTCAATTGTTATCACATATACAGAACCTGGAGCAGTTGCTCTTTTTCATAATAATTAGATGTCATATTACGATGGGCGTTACGTCACGTGTCTTCCACTTGGTCTTTCATCTCCAACTTTTTGCCAACGTGTAGATTAGCAGAAGTTCATTAGCTGATAACTCAAGGACTAAAAGACATTAGTAACAGGCATGTGTTAGTGAAAAGAAACACCAGAGACAAGCATTTCAAGTCCTTTCAGGGATATTCAGCTTGCATTTCAGCTTGCCTGGGGAAGGTGGTTGCACCGACTGTCTCAGCCTCTCAAATTGGCCATACATGTGCTCACATGGGCAGCTGTACATGATTGATTGTCAGTTTGAAAAATGATTATTACAGCATAGACAAGATAAAGAGTAAACCAGAATTGTAATGAATATCCATGGTAATTTTCGATGTCTGCAAAATACTGTGTGTGTGTAAATGGCCGACATCCAGCCCAGTGGTATAGGCTGCAGTCAAAGGTCTGTATGTGTGCAACGTCTCTGAAACCACCTGCTTCAGAGAGGCTCTACGAGATTACATCTTCTAATGCAAATATATGGCAGAATACTGTCATTGAGAATTGTCAAGGGCTAATCATCAGTGAAATTTAGCTTCCAAGGAGGCATCGTTTGTGTTGGTCAATAACATAATGACCATGACTACACATAAAATATAAGCTCTTTCCAAAGGGGAGTTATTTCAAACAAACAGTCTAGCTCTAAATCTGAACAGCAAGCAGAGAGCTATAGATGCAGTCAATAACTGGAAAGGAAACGATGATTATCTTAACAAGTACTGAAATAATGAATAAGCTATAATTTTCCTATTCTTAACAGAAGAGCTCTGTTCCTCTTTGGGAATGTTGAATTCAATCTGAGTTCCATTCATACAAGAATGAGACTTTCAACAAAAATTTACATCACTGTTTTTGAGAAGGAATTGCAAAACAGTTTCTCATGGGAAACTGATTTTTTCATTTTTTTAATTACAATGACGATAAGCTCCTTTCTTGAAAAATTTTTTTGAGGTTTTGGAGAGGAAGAGGTGAATTAGGAGTAATGTTTTTGTTCGCTGTGGCATTTCGTAGACAATACAGTGAGATAGCGAGATTTATATATATATATATATATATATATATATATATATATATATAAATAACAATCATATGCATTTCATTATGAAGAGTAAGATGAATTCTCCTCAACAGATTTTCTCTCAGCAGCTAACTTTTTGCTATGTTGGATGGAGATATCCTTTTCTCTTCTGATCCTATATAGCCTCAGCTGCCAAAAGCAAAGATAGGGTGCACGGAGTAGAAATAGAGATGACCATCATTCCTTTCCTCTCCACCAGTGCTGCACCAGTATCGCAGAGAGCGCTTGGAAGCACTGGCTTATTGGAGATGCCATCCTTCATGCTGTAACAGGAGCTGCTCAGCACATGAATAGCTTCTTAAAAATGCATTTTGAACAACTGCATTGTGTATGCCTGTGATATCACGGTGAGCTATTTTAATTCCGTACATCTTTTTTGTTCCACTCCTGTTGTATTTGGAGCTCGGCACTGTAAATGTCTTTTTCACCTCAGAAGGCACTTGCATTTTCCCAGGAAGATATACTGATCCCTGAGGTGTGGCTGATGCATCACTGTGCTTAGCTTGTGAAGTAGCTTGGGGTCCTTTGGGACACAGGGTGCTTTGTATTTGTCAGTTGTGATTCAGCGAAACTTGCTTCCATCTGAACCTACTGTATCAATCAGAGGAGCAACGTAATTAATCATGACTGGGCTGCACGAAAGTTGCACACATCAGAAGCAAGAGTCCTGGATTTGTTCGTGCTGATGGTGGGCATGGAGATGAGCAAGATGAATAGTGACACTGCCATGAACTGTGCCTGACTGCTGTCTTCTCCTGCCATCCATCATCATCACCACATGTTGGGTGGGAAAGGGAAGCAGTTCACAAAAGAAGGATCAGAACAGTGAAAAACTTTCATACATCTCTATTCTCTCCTCCAAAAGCAGATTAAATTTTGTTTCAGCTGTTAGGCAGTGGATGCAGTACATCAACACAGAAATGACAGAAAACAGCCCCCTCCCCTCAGAAAAGAGAAGTTAACTTGTCAAGCCATGTAAAGCATTTTAATTACAATTTGTATAACATGTATAAATAAATATTACATTCTTTCAGTCTACAATGCATACTAGGCTTATAGTGTTAAAACGTCCGTCTATGTTACTGGGTGGCAGGATTGATTTTGTCTGAGTAAAAAAACAAAACAAAACAAAACAACCAACAAAAAAACAAACAAACAACAAAAAACAACAAAGGAAAAACAGCAAAAGAAACCTCCCCTAACAACAAACTATTGAGTTAATAATTAAAAGAAAAAAAAACCCAAAACATCAGTAAAGACAGGACGATGCAAGTGCTTCCAGCTGACAGTCAAGACATAATACTGCTTTCCAAAAGGCTGGATATACCATCTTCCTTGGAGTGACCAAAGGTTTGGGATGTCAGAGGTTTTTTGATCTGCGTCTCCACTGGTGTGAACTGGCACTGAGTCAATGCAGTTCTGCCAGTTTATACAACTAATCAACTATTTTGTATTTCCTTCAGATTCATTACTGGTTTTGTATTATTTTTTTAATACAAAATAACAGATGTACTGTCTAAAAAATTCAATCTTAGCTGGTTTAATGGCAAAAATATAAGTATATATATATATTTTTAGTTCAACACAGAGCTCTAGGTATTCCTTGATCTTGCTTCAGTAGCATTTCTCCCCCTCTGAACAGCAATCCCAGTACAAGGAAATACAAGTCTGGGAACAACTCGTGTTCATTCTTCCAATCTCAAAGCTTAGTGAGAGCTGGTGACATAAAAGGAACAGAAACTTACAGAATGAAATCATGAACTCATGAACTTGGAAAAAAAAACCCACCGAAATCCAGGCTGTATATATTTGGCCTGTGATGGTCTCTGTTCCAGGTACACTTAAACCAGTGGATACTTCCACGTGCTAATGCAAAACAGCACCTTCTTCCCCAGGTGAAACATGGGAACTTTGGTTGTGGAAACGTAAAACAAATAATGAAACAAACAAACCAAGCCTGAAATTAAAGTGAACATTTCTTCCAAATGGAACATATTTCTAGCTAGAATGAAACAACTGAGGCTTTTGCTTTCAAAAGAGACACCAGATGAAAACTGTTCCAAATTTGTCCTCTGAATTCTTTAAGTAACAGGAGATTTTTACAGCCAACTTAGAAATAAAATATTCTTGGTCCACTGCAGACTTCCTGCACTGAAAATTTTCCTGATTTTAAGACAATTAGAAGAAAAATACAAACAGGAAAATGACTGTGTTTCAATCTAGAAGACAAACAGAAAAGTAAAAATAAAAATAGCAAGTAATTTCTTTCTCCTTCATATTTCATGCCAAAGACGTATCTTCACTTCAAATGAAGAGAAAGAACCAGACTGAGTTACAGTATGAAGTCTTCTTATGGGTCATATGTCCATAACTGGGATGTTCTATTGAAATATGAACAAGTCATTCTTTGCTTCTTGCTTATTCTTTTTAAGGTCTTATATTCTCTTTATCTTTTATTCTTTTTTTTTCCTGAATATTTTTGGTACTTTGAAACATCAGTATATTTATTGTTTCTGTGACCCATAATATATATTTTCACAACCTCACCTTGCCCAGTTCATTATACTGGCCACACCATCTCCTTGTTCCTTTCTGCTATTTATATCCCAATTCCTAAATCCACGAAAAGCTTTTGGGAAAGCAAAGCAAAGTGAAAAACCTGAAGAAAAATACACGTAGCCACAGACAGTTTGGCAACTTTCTTTCCCTGATTGTAAAAAACTGCCTCATAATTTCTCCTGTGGATCCTTTTCCCACCCCCTCTTCTGTCCCAATATATACTGTAGAACTGAAGGCATCAAGGTGTGGTTAAACCCCCTCTTCCCCCCTCCCAAAAAGAAAAAAATCCCAGCAAGGAGCTACACTTTATCTTTGAGTTTCTCCATGTAGTTTCTTATCTCTTTGGAGTCCCCCAGGTCCATATCCTGGCACACCCACTTAATGTCATCGTCATTGCTACTTAGGATTGAATTGACAGTCGGACAACCATCGTCGGGTGGGATGGTGGTGAATGTTGTGAATTTTACCCGCTTCCTTTTCGAAGTTGGCGAATGTAAAGGTTCGGATTTCTGTTCCTTTACGAGCTTGCCCCCTGAGTCAGCGCTCCTGTGAATCTGGCTCTGAATGTTCTTCTGAGCACTGCCGTTGAGGAGCTGGTTGCTCTCCTCACAACCCGTCCCTCGGTCAATAATAGTTGTGTGTTCATCCTGCTGAGGCAATGCATCTGCTGTGTTCTCCAGCAGTTCTGCTTCATTTCCCAGCCAGACCCAGTCGTGGGAATGGGTCATAGTGGTCTGTCCTTCTACCAGAACCTGCTTGTGACGGTACTTAAGTGCAAATGTTGCACAGTTTATTAGGAAGACCAGAATTGCCAGGCAGAAGACCCCTAGCAGAGCATACATCCCAATCTCCAGATCACTAAGGCCCCGAGGTGTTTGCACCAGATCATTTTCCTCCATGCCTGCGTTGCCTTTTGGGAGATCTACTTGGGCAGGGAAGTTGGTGAAGTCTATAGGAATGTTCTGCAGCTGGCTATCGTCTGAGAGTTTGCCACCGTCCAGCTTGTTGTTTTTAATCACTTTATTTTTTATCACAGATTTTGCTGTGGTGCTGACTTTCCTGATGGTGCTTTCCTCTCGTTCTGATGAAGAGCCACCATAATACCGTCCCTCCTGGCCATAACGCTCCTGGTCAGGCGCTTTGTGCCGGCGGTCGCTGGCATGGTTTTCAATCTCCTCACCATCGTAATCTCCACCTGTATCAGAGTCTGCATCATTCTGGCCAAACTTGACTTTGATGTTGCCATTCCCCACAGCCAGGATACTTTTCCTCTTAGACTTCTGGCAGGCTTCAGAAATCATCATGTCCACCTTGACTAAGGTGCCCTGACCTTCACCTTCTGCTGCCACAACCGGCCATTTCAGGGCAGCATTCTGATGGACCGAGACAACAGCTTCATCTAATGATACAGCAGAAAGAGAGAAGTCCTTAGAGTCATAAATGTCCAACGGAGTAACAGAGCTGTCACTGAACTGAATCCAGGTGCTTACCACAGCTTCCTGAAAGGAGAGGGGTATGGTTAAAGACAGGATCTCAAATACAACAGCTAAACCCACGGCCGCTCACTGATTTCTCAGCTCTGAATGAAAGCTGGAGGAAATGGGAGACAAAGTCTCTGCACTGCACTTTGAGCAAACCAGGCTTCAGCCGACAGGGCAGAAGGTTGGTCTCGTTTTTCACTGACATTCCACTGCTACCCTTCCTGCAAGTATTTTGCAAAAGAACATATGAAATAATGCATGTGAGATGCCCGCAATACCAAAGTATCCATTAGTGAGTTACAATTTACATAATTCACAAAGAAAGCCATTCCTGTCATACAAAACCTGGAAAAGACAAAACAGAAAAATTACTATAGGCACTTGAAAATAAGAAGTTTTCCTCATGTCGCCCATGCACAGGTATCACAGGGAGCTGTCAAATCCAACAAGGCATAAGTATCTTTGCAGGAATAAAGAGCTACCTGGGTATCTTGGCAATGGTTTGAGCAGAAGATTCACCTGAAAGAAAAAGAGCCATGGAACAATTCCATTTTTCAGGTCTGTTCTATCGAAATATACTTTATCCTTGAGATAGTGAAAAGCTCTTCTGCATTTCTGTGTCAAGGAGAGGAGGATGAGGATTCTGGTGTGATCTCTATGATATTAACAGAAATGGCTTGGATTTAATTGGACTGTCTTTGTTCTCTGCAGGCAGCACTGCTAGAAGTCATCATTAGAAGAAAATACAAAGCTAGAGGTCAGCTGTTTGCCATTTGAATCCAATCCAGATGATATAGATATTTACTTCTCCATGTCTCAGTAGCTTTGTTTGCAGGAGATTTCTTTATTTTTTCATTTGCTCTATGTCCTGCCTCTTAAGCCAGCAGACATGCAGGCAGATTGCTGGAGTGCAGCTTCACACAAAAACTAAGTTCTTTTCTTCACCAGACTTAAACTGCAGATGGCCCTAATAACTTTACACATGGGTACATCAGAACAACTGGGCTGAAAATCACCACTGGGGAAAAACATTGCCACCCTGTTACCATCCAGGCATAATACAAATTTACAACCCAATATGGTTTCCAATTGGTTACAATTTGCTATGCTATGGTTATAAACAAAGGGAATTGCTACCCTTCTAGTTAAATTTAAAGCTTTTCAATGGAAACAGCAAGGGGAATTTAGCTACTCAGAAGGTTGGACTATACTGAATACATGATTTCCAAAGTGCTATCAGCAAGTTCCTGAGGGACTGAAAGAAGGAAAATAAGTTGTGGCACAACAAGAAAGAAGGCAAAGTTCTCAATGATTCACATGTGCTTCAAATAGCTGAAACAGAGCCAAAGTAGCTCAGGAGCTGTTAAGGGCAAAATGCGTAAGGAAATTTAAACAGCTGATCTTTCATTAGAGAAACAGCCCTAAAATGGCTGAAAAGACTGAAGCATAGAGCTAGATGGCACAGCTTAAACATACATCATAGAAATCTCTAGCAGAGCAAACTCAGCCATGGGAAAATAAATTAAAAAAAAGTTCTATGGATATGTGTAGGGAGAAAAAGATGCATCTCCACTTGTAATTCAACAACACTATTGCCTTCCTTTACCCTAAAAAAGGAGGAGGTGTCCAGCATTGAGAATTTCAGCCCAAATGGCAAGAAATCTGCAATCAAAATTAAAGCTTTTATTTTGTCCACTATTTCTTTATTAGTCTGCATGCCTGATTTTATGAAGCAGAGGTAGAGAAGAAAGAAATGAGATGAGATTTCCAGACACACATGATTTACTACAAATATCAGCGGTATGCAATACCTTAGGTGCTATTTTTTCCAGTACTGAGTTTTTTTGTTTCCAAAAGACCATTTTTTTCATAGGAAGAACCAATTTATTCATGACATGACACAACACAACACACACTGTCATGCTTATACTATGGATGGTGTTAATTAGAAGGGTGGGAAAAAAGAGTGAAAGAGAGATGGAATCTCAAATCGTGCCAAAATATACTGCATCAGCCCCAATATTCCATTCAGCAACAGATCATTTCCTCTCATTCACATTGTTAAAGGCAAGCTGAAGGCAAAGGAAGGAAGTGAATTTCCCAAATGATTATAAACTCTGAAAAGCTAAAAAGAAAAAGAAAAAGAAATGATTTAGTACCATGTCCTTCAAAGAGCTGTTTCTGCAAATCCTACGTACCGCATCAATAAATCCCCTCCGAATCTCTGACAGGGACCTCCAATTACTATCAGCAGATGAAGATGGATGGGAGCCTTCTTACCTGCAAAGCTCTTGCCCTCAATCTGACGCCCTCAAGACTGAAGTGACAAATACTTGCATTCATTAATTATTAAGCATAAACAAATAGTCGGAGGGATTCTCTCTCCAGTCTTTCTTCCCTCCACTTTTCCTTTCACTTATGCACACACACACACAAACACTCAGTTGTACTCTGTGAGCAAATGAACCACAGCTACACATTAGTGTCAGCCTCTCTTAGAGAGCAGGATGATTTATATGGTGGCTGTGATGATGTGAAGTGAGTCAGATACTGCATATTAGATCACATTAATGACAGCACAATCCAATCCAGAAGAGATGAAGAAACTACTTTCCACAACCACTTGTAAATACCATGATTTTCCTAAACACATAAAATATTTACATCAGGATATATTTTGTCTATATTTTTTCTTGTGCTTTTGCCATTCTCCTCCATTTTAAGTACAATTACATAGCAGATCAGCAAGTGTGACAGTTTTTCTTCATCTGCTGCAGTTTCTCACCTTTTCTAGCTCTGTATTATGTTGCTGTTTATCAGTCCAAGGATGCCACTTGATAAATCTTCTTGGATAGCCCTGAGTTTTGCTTTCTACTAGTATTGTTATCTTTTATTATCTACATAATGCTTAGGTGGATAAAAATAGGGGGAAATCACCAGGGTAAATAAGTGACATGGTATTAGTGGAAACTGAGAAGATATGTATTGCCTGATCTGGAATGCTCCAACTCCCCCCCTATATGAGTCAACCAAAAACACCACTGCTTGCTGGCTATGCCTGTTCCACCTAGGGAAAACTACCAGGCTCACTCTCCAGAAGGCAACCTGAATGCAGGAAGCAGAGCTGGTTGGGAAGCTCAGCAGAAAGCACATAAGACAGAGACCTAATGGGTCCTGCAGAGCTGGGACTTGCACAGGTTGCCTGTGGAAATCTAGGAGCCAGACTGCTGATTGTTTTGCCCTCGGAAGCCTCAAATATCCTTTGAAAGTCTGGCATCTTATCGTGTTTCACTGAGTCCATCTGTGGCATCACAGAAACCTTTTGGCATGAAAGATTATGATTACAAAGCATCCTTGCCCAAAAAGTCTGGGATTAGCTTTACACCAGGGCACGATACCTTGTATTCTTCAAGCAAAAATTAGAGAAATAAGATATGTAGGACTGATTGTATTTTAGAGAACAATGATGCTTAGAAACATGCATGAGAGGACTTATCAATATATTTTACCTCATCCCATGACAAGAGTTCTTCAAATGGCCTTCATTCACCAAAGCACATGTAACAGTAGCTGTGAATAAGCCCTAAACTTCTGGTGTCAGCTGCAATAGTCTTGGAGTGAGGCAGGACACCAAAGGAAAAAAGGACAGCTGAACAGCTCTGCAGAAAATACCTCCCCCCCCCCCCAAAAAAAAATATATAATAATAATAATAAAGGAAAAGGTAACACTGTTCTCAGCTTCCTCTATTAGACCAGCTCTGATAGTTTCATCTGGGGACTTGAATGCTGAAATGGGTTTCCCAAGAAATATCAAAGTATTACATGTGCATTTATTTTTAAGCCTGTGGCTTGTGTAGTAAAAATTGGGCTTGATCATTATGATGTGGAAATGAAAAGCAGCCAACACTCAGATCTTAATTCAAACCATGCATTCCCTTACTGCGTATTTCTTTCTCTTCTTTTTGTCCATTCTGCTAATGTGACATTCTTTTCCAGTGGGAATTTGCTTGTATTTGCAAGGGAAGAATTCAGATTCTTATCTAACAACACATCATTTCTCTTTCCCATCCTGCTTAATCCCGTTATCATACAAGGTGCCATTACATTCATTGCTCTATCAGTTTAAAGAATATAGAAACACAATTTAAAAGTAATTTACACTGCAAGAACAAAGTAATGAATCCACACCATAAAAATACCCTCAATATCCATTACTTAACTCTGAGATGTCAGTGAACTCCCAGAAATAGCTTTCATGAAGGACACAAGCTAAAAAAGGACACTATTGTGTCAATCCAAAGGGCAGGGATGTGTAAAAACTCCAGCTTGTCATCCTGGCTCAAGTGACACTGAGCACCCTCACCTCCTATCAGGGGGAAAGCTGACATCTTGCAGGACACTCCCTGAGGTTACAGATGACCTCATAGTGCTGGGTCCTGCCACTGATGCCAACATGAGCTACACGCACGGAGGAGAAGAACTTGGCCTTTAAAAAGTGCTAACACTGCTCTTTTTGATTCTATAGAAAATATCTTCAGTTTTCTAGTAGTGCTGAGAGATGCTTTAATACATACAGTTATTTACTAAGGGCTTTCTTTTGTCTTTCTTCCACTTTATCTGCTGCCAGTTCATTACACTACATGCCATACCCTGCAGTGACGAAAAAGCTGTGATATGACTGAGCTTCCCCTGAAGAGCTAGCAGAAATGTAAGAGTCCTTGAAGCTCATTCAGATCTGAAAACACTTAACCACTGAAGATTTTCTTTTATTTACATTTTGAAGAAGGCTTTAAGATAGCAGTGTTTATTGAACAAGTCTGCAAGCCAAATGGAACAGCTTTCCTACCTGAGCAGATTGCCACTAAAAACAGACTGTGCACAGCTACAGTTTCCAAATTTTGAGAAAATATTTCAACTTAATACTTAAAATTTGGTTAACCTCCACTTATTTTTAGGCACCTAAATCATTAGTCCATTTTCAGCATTAAAGAACTAGCCATTGATTTCAAGAAACTGAGGTGTGGGCTCAGCATCCCACAAGGTCACCTCAGGTAATTAGTTGCCTAACGATAGATAGAGATACCTAATTTCAGGCATCTGAGAGTAAAAGGAAGGAAAAAGTGGCTTATCTGTTTTGAATTGCTAAATGTTTGGGAAAACTGTGAACCTTTTCAGGACTTGTGCTTTGGTTGCTGTGTTACCTGTGCAGAAATGATGTGTGTAACCAAGGAAATAATCTAGTCATTATGTTCACTGAAAGTCACAGATAAGATACTGAATTCATTCCTATGATATTGAAGGATCTGTAATATCACAACTGTAAAGTGCTGTGCGTTTTCTATTCCACAATGGAGATGTACTGCTTAATCTGGTAGGAACAATATTGTGCCTGCCAGAGTACCAAACACCCAAGCATATTTGTTGATAGACTTTGAGGCTTGGCCATTGAAGATACTAAAGTGGAGCTAAGGAAAATACTTGACTAAGAACACACTGACATATAACAATACTGATATATATATAATTATTCCTGAGGAAAAGGACTTCAGCTATCCTAACTTCTATTTTGTTTCTCAGCTGCATCAGTGTGGCTCTTTGTAGGCTCAGGCAGTGGGGACAGCAGCATCGCCATGCTGCTCAGCACTACACCACACAGAAGATACTGCTCAGAATGGAATATGCCCAGTCATTTCTGTAACACAAATGTGCCACTTGGAGGAAACAGATACTGTTTCCCACAAGAAAATTCAGCTTCAACAGGAATATTTCACTAACATTTTGTTCCAAAAGACAGACACTGGGAAAAAGTATTTCAAAACAAAACAGGTTTACATGTTATTTTTTTTGTTGTTATTCCATTACTTGCTAATTGACGTGATATAGAATGTCATTTCATATCATACTACCGTGCCATAATACAATATGAGATGCCATATTGTACACTAATGATGTCATGTATTAGTATGTCTTAATACCTTCTGTTTTGATAAGTATCTTTGCATACTCAGGCCTACAAATCTGAGTAATTGATGATAAATCTGTCAAACTTTCCAGATTCACAAGCTCTTTTATCTTGCAATCAAAGCCATGATTCTCCCAATGATGCTGCCATAGAAATGGTGTTCTGTCTACTTAATGCAATTGGATTAGGCATGCTTTAGCTTTTACTTTTACGGTCTTTCTCTGAAGACACCATGTCAGAAGTGGTTTCTAAGCCCTGGAGAAAGGGCATAAATGGGTTAATTAGATAAGATTCTTATTTCTACAGGATACAGTAAATTGAGCAGATGGGCAGCATGTCCTCCTAGTTTAGTGACATTTTCCTGTCACTAAGTTATAAAACAATCTAAATTATTTTCATGTTCCAGAAAATTAGGTAGCAATAATCACAAAAATGGGCCATTAAGGTTGACTTGAGATGTAATACAGTTTCTCTTAGAGGAGTAGATGTAGGCAAAGTTAACTGCATGGTCCCCAGCCCCACTCCTCAAACTGGCTAACTGAGCAATGAACACAGATACAACATGTTTTGCTGCTGCTGCTGTTTTTAATCTGTTCCAATACAACTGTTTGCCTTGGTCTGGTGTTAATCCTTTTCCCTCTTTTCTACATGGGAACTGAGGACTGCTTGGAAGCCTCCTTTTCCAGAGATGGAAATTTGCTGGCTTAAATTAAGAATCACCATATTGACACCCTAATAATGAACTCCCCAAAATCTATTTGAAAAATAGAAGGACAGAGGAGACTGGAAGCCTGCTGTGAATCCAGGAGGAAAAAGAAAAGTATTTGGCTTTCTTCTGCCTCTACTTTATAGCTCTTCAAAATATAAAATTGTTGTGATACACAGAGCTCTTTGCTCTCTGGCATGGAAAACAAGGGCATGCTCATAAAGCAAACAGAGATCACTGTCCAGAGACTGTGTTGCAAAAATAACAGATGTTGCATTATTTAAAGAAAGGGTACTAAAAATGTAAATAATGCAAACTTTAGTATAGCCAGAACTCTTAGAGTGGATTAAGTCCATATCTGAAAGGAAGAAATGAGAAGACAGATCCAGAGTAACTCTGCAGAAAAGCAATTGCTGTAGACATGAGCTAGGATTACTTGTACACTTGATACTAAAATATCACATGTACTTTGCATTGATAAAACACTGTCCCCATTCCAAAAGGCAACAACAGTAAAAGCTGAGGTGTGAACTACCTGCTTAGGAGTATGAAGTAGCTCTTGAGCAACAGTTGTAGCCACAATGGCTCGACTACTTGCTGCGCTTGGCTGAAGAAAGAGTGAAAGCCCAGCCACCATCTGGACTCCAAGGTCTGTTATGGTCACTTTGTCATCTAGAACAGTCACTGTCTTCTCTGCCAGGATGGAGTCAGACAGAGGAGACAAAACCTGTAGAGAAACACAAAAGAATCAATTTAGAGAAGGGCCGATAATTTAAAATAATATCTCTTATGTTTATTGCTCTTCTTGTCTCCAAAGCCTTAAGCATAAAACCTAGTGGGAGAGTGCGCTGAAAAGGCAGTCTGATTTCAAATGGTGTGTGGAAAAAACATTCTGTACAGAGGTTATTCCTAAGGGAGACTGGACACATTTAGGATTTGTCCTTTGCTTCTTTGCCTGGTAATTCCTGTAGCAGGATATCCTTCCCTTTAACACATTTGAGAGCCATACTGCTGTCTTTATGGGAACTTTGGAAGGCATTGTTCACATATATATTGTCCTCTCCACCTTCCCCATCTCATAGGCAAGCTTTATTCAGATTTTGTGCATTGGGTTTCCTCAGCTGGAGAAGAACTGAGACATGGTATTGTCAATTTCCACTATTGGCCTTTCAGGGTTAATTCACCAGGCTGTATTTTTGTTTCCTGAGTTAACGTTTAACTAAGTCAAAAGAAAACAGGCATTATCTAAAGGTCTTCGTGTCATAAAGTCAAAATGATGCTCATCAGTTGACTGGTGATAGTCTGCATCTATGTAGGACAAGGACTCTGACTTCTCACAACCTGCAATTGCTGCCTTTTCTAAATGCCTCTGAAGGCTGCATGTCCCACTCCTGGTCATTCAGCATGTCTTGCACTGCCACTAGCTTGGTTGAATGTCCCCTCACTAACGCTAATGTGTGTGACACTCTAGAAGGTCACAGGAATGTAATGGGAAACTATCCTGTTTCAAGACAGAGGAAAGCTGTACTGTATTTTGTGCCCATGTATAGATTCTCTAAGTGAATGGTAGAATGTGGCAGCCCAGAGCACAGTACCTGCATTGTTGTCATTCCTACTTCCCGTCCGATTAAAATCCTTCCTTCCTGCAGCTTTGCAATGTGAGGTTCTTCCAGCTTCATAAAATCCATTACGAGGTCTGTAATGTCAAACTGCCAATCCGAGCCCAGCAGGTAGCTCAGCTGACCCCAAGGGCTAGAATCCTCAGCTACAAACTGTGTCAGGACTCGCACCATGGCATGCTGGTACTGGAGAGTGCATCCTCTTCCTTTCCGTTCATCTTCATCTTCATCATCACTGTCTCTGGTGGGTCTTTTTGATTTAAAAAAAAAAAAAAAAGAATAAAGAATTGTTTTCAGGAAAATTAGACAAACTAACACTGCAGTGCTAGTGGAGAGGATTCCCTTAAGTTATTAAGCCCTCCCTTCTGTTTTGTTAAGATCATTGCTAATTCGTGGCTATTCAGCACTAAAAAGAACAACACAAATGAACAACAACACTTCTTCATCTAAGTTGGTATGTGTGAACAACAGTTACAATCACAAAGTTTTATGCTCTGTTGAGTATGATAGACACAAACACAACAAGAATTCCATAGACTTTAAAACCTTTATTAGACCTGCAAATGTCCAGAGCAAAACTAAAGCTGCCAGTGCTGCTGTTACACAAGGAAAGATGCTGCATTTTGGTGCAGAAGCAGCTGTTCTTGCTGAGAGTTAAAATCAACTCTATTATTTCACAAAAATACCCAAGAAATCGAGCATCTCAGACACACCTTTTGTTGGAAACCACGGGGACCCGCCAGCCTTTTATTTGGCTCAGTTCTGTGTCCGAAATGTCTATCTGAAGAGGCAGGCGTGGGACCCAGACTGTGATTTGCAGAGGAGCGCTCAGATACTGATACGTGAAGTTCACGAGCACATTCACCTTGCCTTTCATTTCTTTGCCATTGACATAAACATAGTCACATCTATCAGAAACCTAAGGTGAGGGAGAGAGAAAGAAGAAAACGTAATTGTTGAAACAACACAGGCTCTAAGGGTAACCATCACAGCTCAAAATAAAACAAAACAAAACAAAACAAAACAGAAAACCCCCCAAAAGACACTCTTTTTGCATGTTAATGACAACCTTTTAGAATGGGAACAGATAAACACAAAAATTAATTGCCTCTGCAGGTGCCTGAAAATTGGGTACCAGTTATGAAAGTAGTGGTTGATCCTCTGTTTGCTATGCACTGTTCACAGTGCTGTGGAATTTGAAATGAGCGTGGCTGTTTCACAGCTTGGCCAAGAGGAACTTGAGAAACCATGACATGTCTCAATGGTGGCAAGCAACAAATCGAAGCCCTACTCCAACAAGATTTGATCTTCAGCAGGAAGTGACACTGCTTTCAGTCCTCAAAACAAAGCTGACTTTGGAGTGGATTTCAGCCACTGCAGAATAACAGAAATCTATTTGTTCCCTCTGCAATAAACATTATTTGTTTGTAAATGCTTACATTTTAGTTAAAGCTGTAAAGTATTTCTAAACACTGCAGTAGATTTATCATTAACATGTAAATACTGTCTTGAAATATAAGCAAGTATTATCATAGCCATGTAAGAGTTATATCAGTAATCACATCTTTAATCAATGTTGTAATTTACAGACCATTGAGTTTTCTCATTTATTACTTTACTGAGTACCAGTGATAAAATCACTCCCAAATATATAAATCATTAAGAGGGATGCAAATAGTATGAAGTGACTTCACGTGATAAAGTCATTGTCGTATCTATTCCTAAAGGTGTCATAAATGTCTGGGGGAATCCTGTGGTACATTAATCATATATTAAGTGGCTAGCAATGGGAGCTGTTATATTATTAAATGAGCTGACATGTCTGCAGAAATTAACAGTGAACCCAGCAGATTTCTTCCACTCCTGTTCTTGCTCCCATCCCATCAGATATATTTCATCACCCATAACAAATATTGGCAGAGGTGGTAATGTGTCTCTCCACCTGAACACATACCATCCTCTGCTCCCTTTTACTTCCACTCAACACCATTTTATTCTAATGAAGATTTCCAACTGGAAACTTTCACATCCTCATACTCTTAGAACAGATGGGTGTCCTTTGTGACCACAGATACAGGAGCTGAATTTTTCCCAGTTTGACATATACACCCCACTTTGTATCCTTCGTCAGGTTTAAGTGCTGCCCACATTCTGGTAAAATAATTGATTGCAAAAGGAAACTTCAGAGAATATAATACAAACATTTTTATGACTCATTTACTAAGAAGGTTATGCTGTGGCTGGGCTCTGTTGACTGAAAACAGTTCTACAAGCTACAATAAAAGGCCCACCAGCTTTTCTAGGCTTCTCCCTCAGACCAAGGTTTAAAAGTCCGATGGTATCAACACAAATGGCATGCCCCATTTTTACACATGTTAACTTGAACAGTAATCAGAAATGGTCTTTGTTCACACTAGGCTGTTTCAGAATGACTGCTCAATTTAATCTACGGGTACTATGCAGCAGAGATGTATAATGTGATATATACTACAATAGAGTGATTCACAACCCTGTCCTATATTTGCTGCTGTGGCTTTCTACAGTGCCTTTGTATCAGCTTCACCCTGGGAGAAGCAGCATCAGGAAAATGTTTCTCATGAAAATTACTACAGAACAGGCAAGTGAAGGCTACATGTCAGGAGTTCCAGCCTGGACTCCTTGACAACATCATCTCTGCCTAGAGCACAACTATTAGCACACACTGGGGCAGTCAGCTTCCAGATTTGAGCTGCTGATATCTAGCACAAGCCTGCTGTCCAGCTGCTGCTGTCTCCACTGCTCAAAAACAAGTGGCCAGTGGCTGACCCTCAATGCTTGGCAGCATCAGACCCCCTTCTTCCAGCAGCTGACAATGTCTCTCCATCTCTGATAGAAATTTGGGAATTATTTTAACCAGATTTTTAATTCTTTGATAGCTGAAGTGAAAAGGAATTCATATCTAAACAAAATAACAAAAAATTAATGTTATCAATAGCACAACATCCTCAGTGAAAGTACAAGGAAGTCCTGGCTGACACTGAATCTGATTTCTTTCTTCCTCTATGATCCCAGGAAAGTCAGTTCAACTCTTTCTGTCTGTTTTCTCCCATTATTGCAAGCAATGCAGCCCAGGGAGCCTTGGTCAGGAGAGTCAGAAAGTCACAATACCTGGAGAGCAGACCAATTTCTAGAGCCAAATCAGAAATAGTGCTCCTGGAGGACAAGATTCTATCTCTGGGTCAGCTGATAAAGCAGATTCAGATATGACTCTTCTTTCCTTAGCTCTACCTTCCTCTGAGCAGAAGTCTTTGGGGAGGCTGGTCAGTGAGATCTAATTGAATCATGCTTGCAGCAGTAGCCACTCTCCTTCTGAAACTGGCTCCATCCTCTTCATTCCTATGAGCTGATCCCAAAGGCAACTGGATGAGCCTTTGGAGTTAGTTGAACAAGCTTCTTATTTATACACATAGTAAGCCACATGCACATGCTAATAAAAGATTCCTGATAACATATTTAGCTTCAGTCCTACCTGATCTGGTCTAGGTATATGATTTAATATTATCTAAAGCCCAACATTGTCAGTAACAGAACAAATGTGTCTGTCAGGGAAAATATGCAATAACAATAGCAGCAAAACTGCAAGTCCTAAATGGTCCTGGGCTGAGATCCAAACTCTATCTGTATTTGTAAAGCTGCTATATCCCTTCATGGGTACGCAACAAACAAATGGCTAAACAAATACATATAGCATCCTAAGGTAGTGGCTGCTGCAGCTAACAAGCAGCCCTTAAAATTGCTACAGGTTAATATTTAGTACTAGACATGCATCAGCAACAGTGGCAGGTCTTTATGACTTGCATTGAAAAAAACATTACTCTTTTCACCAAGTACAAGCAGCACTAATGTCCTTACACATGCTCCTTCTTCTGTTCCTTTATTTCCTATACAGGCATAACACAGAGAGAGTCTAGGAGGAGCACATTTGATATGGTATTACTGCATGCATTTCAACTTTGTGCCTTCAGGTATTCACTGTTCTTGAAGTAACACTGATTGCTTTTTACAAAGAAAGGCAACAGACTATCCAACTCGTGCTGTACAGGGGTGAAAGGGAGAAGGGAACAGGATCTCAGCATCCAACTCACAATGCGAAGGCTAACTTGCTAAGCGGATGCCCGTCACAAAAAAATGTAGGAGTTATGTGTGCTGCATCAGTCCACTTAGCTCAGACTAACTCAGTCAGATGGAAGTAACAGCACAGCCAACTTGCTAGGAACAACTCAAAGCAGCCTTGGTGACACTATTTTGATCCTTACGCACACGGGGTTTAAAAAAGATGAAAACAAGAATGATGGGGACAACTAAAAGCACTGTCCTGTGGAATCATAGAAGAAAGGTAGAAGGGAGATTAAAAAAGGGTAATAAATTAAACAGGATCATGTTAGAAATCACATTATTTTTAATTTGAAAGGGATTTTTGTTTATGTATTTTAGATAGATAGATGAAAGTCTCTGTTTCCTCCAGGGCTTTGCAGTGATTCTGAGAAGGTCACCAAACATCACAGTGACCAGCACTCGTCTGCCCACAGTACTTCAAGAAGCCTCTGACAGAGAATGCAAGGCTGCAGACTGAGCAGAGATCTTGTCTCTTCTCTTGTTGTATTTATGCTTTGACTATAAAGACAATTTCTGTCTGAAATGGCTTTTTATCTTTAGCTACAGAAGAAGTGAGAGACAATGAAGGGAAAGGCTGCTTAGCCACCACCTTTAAGTGATTGTTTTTTCCTTTCTGCGTAGCAGATCCGCGAGGAGTTTTGCATTATAAAGAGATTTCTGGTGCTATTTCAGCAGTTTCTTTCATTATTAAGCTGCATTCAGCTACTTTCCTCCTTTTCTCCATTTTTCTAACTTCTTTCTTCAGATTAAAACTAAAATAAAGGAGCTAGATGGCTGAAGATGGGGCTAAGCACAGTTCTCAGGGGCTTTCTACTTTGTTTCTCCTTTTTTTCTGGCATTGTATTTTTGTGCCCCTTTGCTACAAAGGCCATTGTCTTTCCAAATGGCTTGGACAGATTCACTCTGCAACAAATCACATTTTATTGAGCTGACAGAGCAAACTACTGCCTGGAAATCAAAAGAAGAGTCATTCTTGAATCGCTACCTATGGCACTCTGACTTTGTGATCTGGGGAGTGAATGTACCTTTCCACCTAGTAACGAACAAATTAACTGCAACAGATATTGGGTTTTCTAGTACCAGTCAAATGCAAAACCTCTGGGTCTTCCTTTCTCTTACTTATTTCAGATTAAGGTCTTGATCCCACAGTGAGGTCTGTATTGCAGAATTGCAAGAATCGAGATGGCTATCACAACATGAGCTGCCTGTCACACCATATGGGGTGTGACAGTGTACTGCCTTGGACTCTGCAGCTATAAAAGGGCTGCTGACACTTCTGAAAGATTATCTCCCCTTTGTTGGCTAATTTCTGCTACAGATTACTAAGAAATTTTCATCCAATTACTGCTGGAGGCAGATAGTTTAAATAAGACAAATATCATGTCAAACATAAGCTGGGACTGTCTTTCAAAAGATGGCAAACTCAAAATGCTGTCTGCTCTGGTTTGTGTCAGTTGTACACAGGAGTGGAAAGAATGACAGCTATAAGATCCACAAATAAATGGTACCAACCATGTGAGCCTAGCATATAGCTTGTTTATCATCCAAGCAATTTTTCACCTCTTAAGACATTAATCCTTAGCAACAGGTCCCTGAAGAACAGTCCTGAAGGACAAAAAAGAGAAGCTTTTAATATGGCAATGCTGTTAAGTTTATGAAAACTGCAAATTAGTGAAGAATCTATCTGTTTTCTAGGAACAAATCTCTCTGGTTTACCCTTAACTAAACACCCTGAGGTTTAAAATTCTCTAAACTTTTAAATGG